AGTTCTTAACCCTGACCCTAACCTTATTTTAAGAATTTTTGTCTGCGCCACCAACCTGGTACACATTTTCCAATTGCGCTTTAGAAATCATATGACGCAGGGATTCGCATTAAATGGCCTAGGATCCGCGTACTTCCTCCCTTGAAAGCATGTCATAGATTTCATTTATTTTTTCTTTATTATATGTATTTTTCTGATAGTTATGCAAAAAATTTTATCTATAACTTTAGACGATAGTGTTTATATATTTTTTTCTAAATACTGTCTTGAGGGCGTGATCGTCGCTATCATTGTCTATGTAGTAAGGAGAGGAAGACCCAATGAGCTTCCCGTGGTTTGTCCACTGAGCTACAAGATAAGAAATAGTTTAATGCATCCACCTCATTCTTTTGTTATTATATATACTCTAATAATTATGTAAAAAATTTTTTATACGTAACCTTAGACGATAGTGTTTTTGATTTTGTATATTTATTTTTTTCTACACTTACAAATTGTAATTTTTAATACTTTGATCCTAATAGTTGTTACGTATTTACAACTTTGAAATCTAAGAACCAATCACCCGTTATACTGTATATAAATAAGGGTCATTTCATTTTCATAACGATCCTTTTCTTGACGTTCATTACCTAGCAAAATCATTTGTCTATTATTATCGCTTTACTAATATATATTATTATTTATTATTTTATATTCAAATTTATATATAACTGTTTATTTTTATTCTGTTTGCATTAGAGTATTAATTTAGGTGTGTATGAAATTTAGTAATCAAATTTTAAAATAAGATACACAAGTTTATATTTATTTGCATTAAATTGGGTATAGAGAAATTTATTAAAATAAGCTATTCAGATTTATGAATAATTACTTTTATTTATTTTATTTATATTAGTTTCCGTGTAGTGTTTTTAAATTTGCTGCATTGTAACAATTAGGCCGGCAGCGAAGCAACGGTTACATATAAAATTTATCTTGTTCAATACAGCTATATACTATAACCAGATTTATTATAGACTTTAAATATAACAGTTCTGGCTTTTGTATACATTCTTTTGTGCAAAATGGCATACTATTGTAATGACCCACCTTTCAGTAACAAAAATTCCGTAAATGTAAAGGCTAATAGGATGCCGATGGATAATCAAAAGGTTAAATTGTGGATATTCTTTACAATAACAATGAAAATGCATGTGGTGAACCATCTTATAATCAAAATACAGAGTATTGATAAAGATAGAATTGGTAATCTAGTAGAACGTCCGTTTTTAAGAAAGATAATTTAGATAATTTAGGGATCGTGGCAAGCAAAAAAAAAAAAAAAAAAAGTATTCCGCAGTTATCCCGTAGTGACCATGTGGATGCATAAGAATTATAGCGATAGTAGTAGTCCTGTGATCTTCTAAAGTTGTCCCGTAATTGACTCGGAAAAAGTAATCGTAATGTTATTTTATTATGTACAGTACCTCGTATATTATGTGGATCATTACTACATTATTATGTCGAAGTTATTACTTCATTCTCGGTAATCGATTACATTATTTTTACTTGTAGATAAAAGTATATATAATGTATCGTTCCCTGGAAGAGTGTAGTAGCTTCTTAGGTAAAAGCATCTAATAAAATACCCTGCATAATTTATGCTGCTCCCAAAGCTAAATTGCTAAACACTCTCCCAATTTTGGGCGTAACCCAACTTAGTATTAGAGACTAGGCGACTAGCCCAAAGGGTTTCCGTTGCAATCCTCGATCCCAGACATCACATCTACCAAGGGTTTAACACTCCCGAAAGAGCTACCTTCCCCAGTCATTTTATGACATCCAAAATCGATGCTAACCTGTCAAGCAAAGAAGTGCACTCAGAAAATTGATTCCCGCCGGCATGACTGACTTCAACCGTTTCCCTTTCAACAATTTCACGTACTATTTTAACTCTCTTTTCAAAGTTCTTTTCATCTTTCCCTCACAGTACTTGTTCGCTATCGGTCTATCGCTTATATTTAGCATTAGGTGAAATTTACCACCCATTTAGAGCTGCATTTCCAAACAACTCGACTCTTAGAAAGTGTATATTAAACAATCCTGCGGTTGGTATACACGGGATTCTCACCCTCCATGA